TAAGGTGGCTGCAAGTGGGAGAAAAATCGTGAGTAGCGTTACAGGTAACACCCTGTATGTAGGATCGGAAATAATCGAGGTTGACGGATTACTAGTTTTTTTTGGGAATAATAATAACAGAATAATAATTTTAATAATTTAACAAGAGTATAATAATCAACGAAATATAAAAATCAAATACGGACATTGATACAACTTTTCGAACGACTTCCTACTTCCAACGTTACAACGAGACTCACCCGCGACGCCACGCCGTTTTCCTCGTTCGCCCTGGGTTCCCGCGTAAAAGGAAACAAATGCAGTCTAATTCTTCGTTCCCTCGCTAATTTTCGCGCCAACCTGTACTACCGCCGATTTATCTTGGCGCCAATCGTCCACGTTTCCCGCTCGCCCGTTCGCGCCCGATCGTATTCGACGAACACCGAATAAACCAATCCCACATATAAAAGTTTAAAAATTCAGAAATCAACGCAATTTCAAAAATTTAAGTTTCCGAATTTAGAAATTAATCTGAGTTTTTACATTTAATAATTAAAAAGCTTGATCATTCAGAAAATTTAAGAATCTAGAAGGAATAAATTTCTGAATTTAAAATTTGAACACTTCGCAAATTCCCAAACTCAAAAATCTAAGAAATCGATATACATCTAAGTTTCTAAATTTTGTTAACACGAAATTTTTGTAGTGAAAAATTTTTAAGTGAACCTAACTTTTCCCGACAGAAAACCCCAGGGCAATTGATTTGCCCTATGCTAATAACGATTCTGTATATAACTAATAATTATTACTAAGCTTGTCCGTTTGCGAAAATAGAAAATCCTCTTAAATTGTGATAACATTGCAATTCAAATGCATGACGCTTAAAAGGATTTAGTTTAATTCGTCGTTTGTTATCTTGAACAACGTCTAACGTGGTTACCATAACAGCAAACACTGCTGTGAAACAAATCCTGGTTTTAAGGTGATCGACCCTCGTAATTTATTAATACACGGGTATTCCGTAGACAACGGGCAAACAAGGTTCCCTTTTTGTTTGTACCTGCTTGACCAAAAAAGAAGAAGTAAAATTTGATGAAAAACGGGATATTAACCAGTTTCAGCCTAATTAACATAATATTAGATTACAGATGAATGATATGAAATTTATAAATTTTGTAAAACGAACAAAACACAAATTTCATAATTATTGAAATCATCAAAATATTTATTGCCTCTTGTAATTAAATTTTTTATTACTTCCTCAAAATATTATTTTAAAATTATTAAAATAGAAAATTTGTCCTTATTTCAAATTTTTTAAGTAGAAAATGTTTACTGTTATTTTTTGATTATCTGTTTTTCAGGGTTTAGGTTTGGTTCAGGGTTTATGTTAATTTTTATAAAAAATTTTAAAGTATGCAACAAAGGGTTGAAGGAAGATTGTTCTACTTTTAGTGCAATTTTTATTGGAACTGTTTTTATAAAGGAAGTAAGATTAAATTGCTAAATAAAGAACTTTAAGATTAATTATTGAAATCCGGAAAATAATGAAGAGGGTAGGTGCACCAATTACAGGGAATGTTCCAATTAGGGAGCCTTTGCATTAAAATTATCGAGTAAATAGATAGACCTATAAATAAGTAACCAAATTGTTTACATTAGATGTAATATTAACAAGTAAGATTAAAAATAAAAAGTGGCAATTTTAATATGTTAAAATATTTATGAAAGAAATATTTATCAAAGAATACGCATTACGCTTTCACTGATTTTTATCGAAGAATGATATAATATTGAAAAATATTGAAAATATAATAGTGTTTTTATAGTACTAAAAAAATAATAATAAAAAGATCGTATAATAATAAGAAGAAAAATAATATTACTTTTAAGAAATATGTTGTACAGGGTGTTTTCGAAATGGCGGTAAAACTGACGGAATTTGAACATAGTTTAAGTATTTGTACAAGAGTTTGATCACAATATATAAAATAATAAAATAAACAAGTTGTTTCTTTATTCTATAGTAAACAAATATTATAAATTAACAGATATAATTAATAATATCGCTATATAGGTTTATTACTTTATTAGGGTTTGATAATTTAAAAATTTGAAAATTTAGCAGTTTTAGAATTTGTACATTTGAAACTTCAGAATTCATGAACTCAAAAATTTGATTTATTTTAAATTTACATCAGTATATTTACCCTTCTAAATTAATTTGTTTTTTATTTTCTATAAAATGTATTTTATATTTTTTGTTCTCTGCTTGCAGGTTACCTCTTATTCAAAGACTTCTGCGAGAATGTGGCGGAGGAGCCGATTCCGCAACTTAGGTTTTACGAAGAGGTTTGTATTATCCTATAAAAATACAAATATACTACACAGTAGTGTTTATAAACTGTCACAAAGCTTTTAGCGATAAAATTCTTTCTGTTTATACTATAAAGCTGAACTAGTATACTGTAAGAGTCTACTGTTACGTGTAAGGGTCTTCTATTTACCTGTATGTACAGTAAAGTCTTAATGCGAGTGAAAATAATTTACACGATATAGCGATTGCGTGTGAAAAAGAAAAAGACGCTGTAATTGTAGCAGTCGACAAAATTCAAAAGTCTGTTGTATTATTTACGATACCAGTGTGTTTCTAACTCTTTTATTTTTAACCTTTTTTCTATGAAACTTTTACTATTGTGACATTTTCTTTTCATCTCATTTTCCAAATGAAACCAAACACGACGTGATTCGAAACATATTTATTTGTAATTTCAAGCGTTCCGTTAATATCGACAATTTTATTTACGTAAGTTATTATAAGTAAATATGTTTCGAATTACGTCATTTTTATGATACAAATATGTAATTTTAATTAGCACAATATGATAGCAAAGTCACAAATATGGTAGTGTGGGTTGTATGATCAGATAATAACGAATAAAAGTGTTTTATGCTTGCATTAGTTCCATCGATGTGTTACTATTTGGTTAGGTTCGGCTTGGATCTTTTTTTCACATTCTCTCGTTTTTCTACATTCGGCAAACATTATTCAATGTAGGAACTGCTCGGGATAAGTTCAAACACGAAAGATTTGCTTAATTTGAGACTTTAATATAATTTCAACCACTTTTTCCAACTGTATTTAGACATTTTAACCACAGAAGTCTATGATTTCGCCTGTCAGATGTATCACGTGATTATCCGAATAGGTCCGAAGAAAAACGAAATTACCCGACGTGGCATTACTTCGTCTACCGCGAAAACTACAGTATAGCAAAATAAGCTAAACGCTTGTAATTACAAGTAAATGTATTTCGAATTTCATCATATTTGTTTTCATGGTCTCATTTTAATCAGGAAGATATCGCGAATATGATGGTTTCACAAAAGAAAAATGAGAACAGAAAGTTTTATTCTTGCGTTAAAATCGTTCCGCTGTTATTACTATTTTTTACGTTCAGACATTTTCTTCGCTCGTTTTTCTACATTCGGCAAACTTTAATCAATGTAGGAACTACAAGATATAAGCAAAAATTCAGATTCAAAAGATTCGTTTATATCGAACTTTACTGGATAGAATTTTTTACAATAAGATTCTCCATAAAATGTAGCACCAAAGATATATATTATACAAATACTTTCAATTTTACATTTTGGAATAGATCATTAAAAAATAAATGACAAATAGACAAAAGATTTAAGAAAATTTTCAGTACAATTTTAAATTTCAAATTTACATCGATTTCATGCAATTTCAATTCAGTAAAATTAACTGTACAAAAACTTCTCTATGATAACCTTCATAATTAATTTATAATTACTAGCAATTATTTGAATACACATTTCTGTAGCTCATTCAGCAGTTTTTTATACTCTAAATTTTTTCAAATTCTCATTTTTTGAACAGTTGTATGCCTTTCTAGACTTTTAAACGTTTATTTATTAAAACGTCAGTTGGTGTCTAGATGGTTCATAAACATTAATGGAGAAATGATCTACTAAAATTAAAAACATAAAAATGAATGGATTTAAAAAATTCATGTAGTCTTACATGTAGTCTTTACATCTCTAAATCTTTCTCAACATTTATTTATTTTATAAATTATAAATTAACCTTATAAGTCTATAATTATTTAATATTTACATTTATTTAAGATGATTATTCCTATACCATAATTTTTGTCTATGAAATCCTAATAGAAAATAAGTTTAATATTAATTTTTTTAATTTTATGAAGTGAATTTAAAATACCGTTTTTCCAAATTACACCGAAAAATTAATTATTTTATGCCATGTTTGAGATGTGAAAGTTTGAAAGATTAAAATTTATGAGTTTTTCTGTAGTACATTTCCTTTTTGCTTCAATTCTTTGCCGTCAATTTTTATTCTGAAACAAAGTTAGACTAATAATCTTTTGTCAGATTTTTGGCAATTTTTCGAATTCTTCCACAGTAGAAGCCGGAGGATTTTCAAGCGAAATAAGTGGGAAGGTCGCAAATTTAGTTGCCAATCCAATACGTAATCGCGAGTTTCCATCCTTGAAGTCATAAATTGCAAGTCCAGACATCCTGTTACAGAAAACACTCAACAGCGTACAACCATTATTGAACTTCTTGAAAAATATAGAGATTTCTGCCTCAAATCGCGTTAATCTAAATTGAATTTGCTACAACCTTCCAGATCCTATTATTTTTCATAAGCAAAAGTGCTGTATGTTTTTACGCTCCTATTCGTTACGCAATTTACATTTATATGTTTTAGTTAACTACATTTACATTTGCATTTCTTTTGTTACAAAAAATATACATCGATATTTGTTACCAAAAATTTACATTCGCATTTATATTTTTTACTAAAAAGTTACATTTGCATTTATATTTGTTACCAAAAATTTGCATTTATATTTGTTACCGAAAATTTACATTTATATTTATATCTGTTACAAAAAGTTTACGTTTCCATTTATATTTTTTAAAAGCAAAATATTACTAAATACTATGTACTGAAATATAATATTAATTGTTTTTGTTTAATTTTAATTAAAATCTATTCATCAATAATTTACTTAAAATTTACTGAAAATATATTTGCTTAAAAGAAATATTTGGCTAGGTTATAACTGATACAAATAAGATTTTTATAACTTCTTTGTTTTAATAATTTTTTCAATTATAATGAGTGCTAACATATTTCAATAGCAATACGTTTAATTATTATAATTATTTATAATTTATACATATGTATTATTATTACATATATATTTATTTTTGTCACAAAATCTTCGTGAAAATTTATCATTGTAGCAAAACAAAAATAACTTTCCTATCAAAATTGAGACTAAAAAAATTACAAAATGTGTTGAGTTGAAGTTTAACAAATCATAAGTAATTTAATGAAATTAATGAAAATAATTAAATAAAATACTATATGTTGCAAATTCTCTTGAATTTCAATAATTAACTATCCATCTAATTAGTTATAAAATAATTAAAATAAATAATTAACTATCAGTTTAATTGGTGATCAAATAAATAAAATAACGTAAATCTGATTTTACAATTAAATATTTACCTTAATCGTTCGCATGCGAATTGAAAATAAGTTTTATTAAATAGAGTAAATATTGCTCTTACTCTAAGCGGAAATAAATACTGATTTATTGATGGATTATGCAGGGTGTCTCACAATTAGTATAGGTCCTGGAAATGGGGGGTAGCTGACGTGATTTTAAATAAGATTTCCCTTTGCAAAAATGGGGTTTAAAGCTTTGTTTTTGAATTATTAAGGAAAAACAAGGACCAATCAGAGCGTCAGAGTGATTCAACAACGAGTTCCACGTTCAAAATTTAAGGACCAAAATTATAAAACTATACTTCGGATAACGCGTAGTAATCCAACGCGTAGTAATCCAACGCGTAGCAATGCAACGCGTGGTAATCCTACTCGCAGTAATCCAACGCGTAGTAATACAGCGTGTGAATATCCAACACGTAGTAATCTAGCGCGTGCATATTCAACGCGTAATAATGCAACGCGTGGTAATTCTAAGCGTAGGAATCTAATGCGTAGTAATCTAACGCGTAGTAATCCAGAGTGTAGATATCCAACGCGTAGGAATCTGACGCGTGGTAATCCAACGCGTTATAATCCTCGCTCTCTGATTGGTCCGTGTTTTTCCTTAATAATTCAAAAACGAAGCTTCAAACCACATTTTTGCAAAGGGAAATCTTATTCAAAATCACGTCGGCTACCCCCCATTTCAGGGTCCTACACTAATTGTGAGACACCCTGTATAAAACGATCGCTATACAAAGTGATCTGCCTCAACTTGCACACCCCAAGTAACTTGTAAAGTGTACGTTATAGCAAAAATTTTTTACAGAAAATGATTCTATGATTTAGAAGAATATATTATGTAGTGTACGTATTTTTCTTGTAAATACGCGTTCTGAATATTTTTAGACGAATTTTATTATTTTAAACAGAAATTTTTTATATAAAAATATGCAATGTTGTATTATCAATAAAAATGGATATACCTTTATTAGCTCTAGATCTAATAGTCGATAAGTAATTTCACTTCATCTATTAACCTTGAAATTTCCGAAATACTGTCTCCATTTATGAAAAAAGTACATACATCACATAATGTTTCTCTGATTAAATTATTATTAAGGATGTGCAAGCGCGGTGTTCTAAGTTCTTAGTTCCAGTTGTATTATGTCACGTATCGCTGTCTGGCCATATAAAGAATTTCTCATTTATGCATTGTAGATTAAGGCGTACGAGAAGCTCGAATGCCCGGAAGAGAGGAGAAAACTTGCCAGAAAGATCTACGACAATTTCATCATGAAGGAGCTGCTGGCACACTCCCATGTAAGTAAATCTCATTCACGACCGTTTTCTCGATCCTTTTTATTGTGCGAAACTTATCCTTCGCTTCAACACGCGAAATAAAAGCTTTCCGTTCTATTATCAACCATTGTGTTCGAAAGTTTGCTACACTATGCATTTATTTACCGTCCCGGCAAAATTTTCTGCCTCGCGGTCCTCTAATGGCCTAGACTCTAGACAAACACTATTTTTCTTTCTTCAATTAAAATTAGCATTATTGTACGTTAAAAAGTCGATTTATATACTTTGACAACATATAAGATATCAGAAACTCAATTTCAGAAACTAATCAATTAATTATTCAGAAAATTGGTTTTACTTATTATATTTATTAAAATTTTTTTTTTATAGTAAGGAGAATTTTCACGCAGCGAGCTATAATACTTGATATTTTCAAATAAATTATTTCTAAAATGTTTCCTGTTACATTCGTTTAAAGATTAGGTTAAATGATGTGCCACCTGAATTAAAATAAAATTAATGGAAACTAGTGAAAAAATTTGAAATTTATTTATAATAATTGATTTAATATTTATTACACAATTTTATTACTTATATAATTATTATTTGTTACTTATGCAATTATTTACATAATAGTATTTTATTAGTTTTACACAAGTTTAACATTGAACCCAGCTTCATAAAATATAATTCATACTGCACAACTGTTAAAGGATCTGCAAATATGAGATGGGTAGTCTTAACTTAACATAAACCATCGATTTGCTTTGATCTCTTTTATTGAAACGTTCTCTGTATAAGATTACGATACTTTACTTATAGTAAAACATAATTGTAATACGTAAACAATATTTTGTATTATTGAATTTGTGAATAAATTATAGTAAAAAATAGTTCAGTAGTGTATAGCTTTGGAGTACTCTTCAAACTGTAAAGTTAGTAGTATGTCTAACTTGAAACATTGAAGTAGTTAATTTTTTTTTTTTATTTAATTAAAATCACATTCCTATAAAGTGCCTAGCAGTTTTATCATCTATTTAAATAAATTGTAACAAAAAATTGTTCGATAGGGTAGCTTCTAAACAGTTTTCGTAAAAATATAAAATTTGGTGATATACATAACTTGACATATGATAGTGTTTTGTTTATTAAATAATGTAAATACAAAGTGAATAATTGTTTTTCAGATCTTGTCAAAGTAATTTTGCACATATTTTTTCAACTTCTATAATCTTCAAAAATAAAATAATTTTAAGAAAAAAAATACGCCGACTTCGAAATGCACTAAAAAGTATAAAATAATTTCTATTTCCTAATGAAGTAATTTCTATTTCATTCAATCATACAATTACGTAACAGATATGAATGAAACCTATTTACTCGTTAGGTAGTATATTAAATACATTTCAACCTTTTCGGAGGCAGCGCAAAATTAAAAATAGCTCAGTAAACGTTGCTGCCAATAACCAGTTGATTGTGGTACGGCGTATTGGAAATTAATAAATCCTGAGAAAGAATACGAACCATTATAGATATATCTGGTAATATACGTAAATGTAACTAATGTATATAGGATCTAAGAACCTATAAACGGAGCCCACGACGCGAGAATTACCAAATTTGCGGCAGATGGGCTCTATCTTTATAGTATATGCGGTGATCGAGTCTTTCCGTCGCATACTCTATGAATCTAGAATAATCTAGATAGACCATAGTTACATCTAGACGCACTAACACCTACTTCGCGGCGTGCTGTCGAGTTATAT